TAACCATACCACACTGCCATGTCAGTCATCTTCTTGTCTATCTAATCTGCACTGTACAAATAATGTGGATTTTTCCTTAGAATTAACACATAGTCACGCATTGCTTAAGGATGGAGATATGTTGTGAGAAATTTGTTAGTGGGTGATTTTGTTGTCATGCAAACATCAGAGTATAAATACACAAAGCTAGATGGTAGTGTAGCTACTCCTGTGAAGGCTTATGGCATATATATGATAATCTATTGCTCATAGCCCATGATTTTTTTAAAAATGAGATTAAACCAAGCACAAGAGAAAATGATACAATCAAGAGTGATGCTTAACAAGAGATGTATGAGGTGGTGACTGGTTTAACACAGCACAGTGTTTTACAATCAATTTTTTTTTCAGTAGAAAGAGCAAGGGTAGTGATGAGAAACTTGATAAAATTTATCTTTGAAGAATGGAATTTTTATTTACTACCACGAGAGTATAAAACATTTCTAGTCTTCATATCTCATTTCTACATATGAAGACTTAAAAAAAAAAAGCAGATATGAAAGCAAAACTATTTGTATATACGTAAGTTTTTACAGGAAATGTCTCTAAGGATACATAGCAAACTGATAACTATTATTTTTATCTTATTTGTATTCTTTCTATATTTTTGTATTTATATTTATATCTTTTATAATATAATACTTAATAAAATTGAACTTTTAAAAAGCTACTCAAAGGATTTTCAAAGATTGCTTTAGTAATACTTTGGGAAAATAATTATACAAAGGACTAATACAACTTTTCTAGATACTTTCTTGAATAGAAGCTTACTTTTGGTCGGGGAATAAAACATCAAAATAAGGTCTTTCAACTTCTAAGTACAATGAAAATGTATATTCCACCAAACTCATCAATGAAGACTTGCCACCAAAAAGCTATTGCTAATTAAAGTACTACTGGTACTAACTTATCACAATACTTAGTGAGGGAAAAATATTTTAAATAATGAAGAATAAAATGGAAATATTTAAAATTTTATAAAGCACAAATGTCTACCATGCATTTTAATTTTTGTAATGATTTAATAATAATGTCAGAACATTTTAGTTTTAAAAAACAAGTTAAAATGGAATATCTTCCTTATATGGACTACACATTTAAATTAAAGTTTTCATACAGCTTTAGTCTTCCGAAAACAAAGTGGGCAATGAGGTAGATAAGGCGGTAGCTAAGCTACCACACAGGACTGGCCAAAGGGCTAAAATCTTAATAAATCAATTCCCAAGCATGAGTTGTCATTGTGGCTGTGATTCTGAGATAAAGGACCTGGCTTCATGCACACATCTTCAAAGCTTTAAAGTTAAATTCTGAACCAAAGAACAAAATCTCCAACTTGGTTAAATGGTTAATCTCAAAAGATAAAATCACAATTGAGATGTTAGTTTTCCATAAACATGCCATGAAAAAAAATGCTATTAAGTGAAAACAGTTGGTTTTCACTTTGATAGATGAAGACCTCCCCTCTCCTGACTCAAATTGGTATAAATCTCTGTAATGAGCCTAACCTAGCTGTGTTAACAACTCAACTCCAAGAAATTCAAATCTTAGAAACAATCCTGCCTGAATTCTGAATACCATTTATTATATTATGGTTAGTCTTCATCCTACTGGTGAACACTCCAGAAAACTAAGAGCATTTGAAAATCTCACTTCAGAGTGTCCTCTAAAAAAAGTAGCTCTTTGGGCCAGGGATTTAGGTCAGTGGTTCTGCCGCCTGCCTCGCAAGCGCAAGGACCCAAGTTCAATCCCTGGTACCAACAAAACAAAACAAAAAAAAGTAGTTCATGGACAATATAGTTATTAGTACCAAAATCAACATTTACAGATGTTAATAATGCCATGCAAGACCAAGTTTATAGGAGAAACAGGCTCTCAAAGAAATTAGCACTTTTCTAAACACGAAAGATTTCTATTTTAAAAATCAAAGCATCATTATTCTACAGTGTTTTCTGGTTTCCAATGAAGAAACCTGTTTGAATCCATGAAAAGCACTTATTAGATTAAAATTCTATAAAAATCAAACACTGATTCACCAATGTTACTTAATATATTCTGCTATATTTTGAACTTTATTAGATTACAAAGTTCAGAAAAATGTGTAACTGAAAAAGATAAGTAAAACAACTCTATAAAAATAAGCAGAAACTGCGCAGTATATACTGTCTAAAATAAGTACAATGACCAAAAATGTAAAAAGAAATACCTCCTTTGAAAAGAACAAAAATTCCTGCAGCAGAGAGTGTCAGTCCAAAATGCTTCAATCAATAAATCCAGGATTAAAAGGCATAACTGACAGCAAAGCTGTAATTCTAGGTATTCCCAAAAAGCTCACAGCTCAACAGCTTGTTTGTTCACTATGCTTAAAGGTGCTTAACACAGAGAAGAAAATCACAGGTGCTTTTAGAGTTCCGAATTACTGCCAGCTACTAAAAGTTCTCAAATATGTGTATTATTATAGTCTGGTTAAAATACATACTTCTTTTTAAAAGTAATAAATAAAAAATTATTTCTAAAATTAAACAGTAACTTGTAATATGAAAAATATACAGGCACACCTGCATACTTACAGAACATTTTCTAGTTCCATATTTAAAAGTACACTATAAAGCTATCATAATTAAAAGCTGGTACCAATACCAAAGGAATGAAATAATAGAAAACATAAAAAAAACCTAGGCCTAAGACGAATGTAATTATTATGTACTGCAAACATATTAAAAAAAATTGAATAAAGTACTTTCAATTGTATCACAGCAATTGTATCACAAATGGAAATATATGATACAGAAACAAGCAAAGATTTTTCCAAAACAAAACAAAATCAGGAACAAAACATCCTTTAATAGAAGACCAGCCAAATTACTGTACATCACACAGTAGAATACTGGTTAAAAGAATAAGGTAGAAGCAGGTGTGGTAGCGCACTCCTGAAGCTCAGCATTCTGGAGGCTGAAGCAAGAGAACAAGTTTAAGCCTAGTCTTAATTTGATGACTTAGCAAGACACTGTTTCAAAAGTGAAAAATAAAAAAGGGGCAGGGATATAGCTCAGTGTGAAGATCCTGAGTTCAACTCTCAGTACAACAATAACAAAGAATAAGGTAGAATTATATATAGTAATATGAAAAGATAAGCAAAATACCTTGGGTAAACAGCGAATTTAAAATAAATCTATTCCGTTTCGACACCAGGGATCGAACTTGGCACCTTGCGCTTGCAAGGCAGGCGGCAGCACCACTGAGCTAAATCTCTGGCCAATCTATTTCTGTTTCAAAAGACAGATATCACTCTATGAAACTATATTAAAATACACACAGGAAAAGGTTGACTATTTAACAGTGGCTGTCACTAGGGAAAGGAATTTTCACTTTCTATCTTACACATATCAAAAAATATTAAAATGTACAGAATAAAATATTTTTACTTTTTGGAATTTATCCTAAGAAATTAAGGATGTACGGAAGAAGTCAATTGCAATGATACTGATAGCAAAGCTTTTATAATAAAAAATTGAGAATTAAGGAATAGTTTAAATAAATTATAGTAGACTCGTAACAGAACACTATGCATACATTTATCCATTAGATATGATACTACTAAAATATATTTATTGTTATGAAAATCATAATATATTAAGAAAAAGAACATAAAATATGTATCTAATTTCATTCCGTTAAAGAAAAATATATATATACATTGAATATCTTTGAAAAAGCTGGACACCAAAATGTTAACAGGCTGAGAGATAAAATTAGGGGAAATTTCTTTTTATCTTGTTGAATTTTTGTTGTATTCTCAGCAAGAGAAATATTACATTCAAAGGAGTGAAAATTGGCACTCCTGAAGGGCAAAAAGTAATTCTTACTTTTTTAGTGTTTTATGCACAGATATCCAAATAATATACATACAAATGTACAATTATGTATGTATCATTAAAATTTCATTAGGGGACAACTAGAAAAAAAACACCTAAAAAGCCTGGGTGTTTGTATAATAATCATAAGAAAAAGATTAGGAAACATTGTCTCATTGGTACTTTCTCTCCATCTCTGTCTCTGCAGCATTGGGAATAGAGCCCAAGTCTTCATAAATGGTAGATAAAGCACTTCATCACTGAGCTATACCTCAAGCCCTCATTCTTTCTTATCCAATAAAGTTGGTATTACTTCAGTTTAATTCATGTAATCTATGTATATTTAACTAACACAAAAGGTAAAAAGGAAAATACTATACAATGAAAAGTTAAGATATATAACTTTTCATTACTAAATATAAAATGTGCCCCTTTATTCCTAAGGTTTTAAAATATACTATATTTAGGGGCCAGGAATTTATCTCAGTGGTGCCGCCACCTGCCTTACAAGCGCAAGGTCCTGAGTTTGATCCCTGGTACCAAAAAACAAAACAAACAAAAATATACTATGTTTAAAATATAATGCTAAAATGAAAATATAGAGAGAACAAAACTGGAAAAGTCTTGCATCCAGAATTGTCTAAAATTACCTGGAGGAATAAAATATGGTTGCCTAGGCTCTACTCTCTCTCAGTATTTCTGTTTGGGGGATGCATTTTAAGCCACGAGAGTGGTTTTTATTAAATGAGGTATACTTGCACCATAATACTATCCCATGGAAATATGAAATCTAGTTAAATACATTTTAATTTGGTTTAAGAAATTTTTAAAATTATGTACTGAAATGACAGAAATAATTTAAACCTGAAAGATCAAGATATCCCCACTAAACCACTCTCTTTCATGAATTTGAAAATTCAAATTTTCTCACAAACTACTAAAGACATCCTATTCTTCATTATCTCTCTGGGGCAAAAGGCATTATGAAGAAGACAAAAGAAATATGCAAGATTCATAAATTTGCCACTGAAATAAAATTACTTCAAAACCATAGTGTTATAGAAAAGCAACAGTTTACCTAAATCTGCAAATTCCAGAATTAATCATTACCTTTCTCTGGGCACCATAATTCATAAACAGTACAGTTTGAATCCTATGATGAAAATAAAACAAGTAGAAAACAAGAGTCACTGTTGGATAATAAAAACTAGGATACTGTCAATGATCCTCAATTTTCTAGTTAATAGATTTGTTTGGCACATCAACCTTGAAATTACACAGGATTCAAAATTCTGCCTATGTTAATTATTTCCCATGTTAAAAACTTTAGGTATAACTATTAAGGCATGAGCCAAAGATTTATTGTATACCTAAATAATGAAACTACCTAAGTATATAGCTAACAGCCCTCCTTAACTAATGCGAATTTACAAGGCTAAGCAAAATAGGGGATTACAAAGGATAAGATAATATTCTAGTCCCTATGGGTTTCCCACCCCTGTTTCTGAGAGGCATCAATGACAACTTTTTGGCAACAGTAGCAGCAGCAATAAAATTTCAGTGCTTTTATTACGTATGTACTCATTTAATTGTCCAACATGTCTATGAAATAGATACTGTTCTTTTTTACTTTACAGATGAGAAAATTGAGAAATGAGGTTAAGGAATAGCTGATAGGTACTATATGCAAACTTTTGCCAAATATTTTGTCTGCTGACCAGAAATAACACAATCAAATGAGCAAACATTCAAAGTGAGATTTAGCATGCTATGTATATAAAGCGGTTAAATTCTGTAAACAGTTATCAAAAAAGATATAAATATAACTGAGGCAAACCTGAGTTAGAATAAAACGGTTTCCAAGGCATATCGATAGTACAGAATTTTCCCATTTCTATCAACGATCATATTCAGATAACTAGCAACTCAATTTTGCTTCTGTTTTAAAATACTAATTATTAACATGTAATTCTATTTCAGAAATTCTATTTGCTAATTCACGTGTAAAGCTTTGAATCCATTTTATCTACTAAGAACATTCCTCCTTAAAGTTTTATAAAACTTGAGCCAGGGATTTAGCTCAGTGGTGCCGCACCTGCCTCGCAAGCATAAGGTCCTGAGTTCAATCCCTGGGACTGAAAAAACAAAAAGTTTTATAGAAGTTAATTTCATATTTTATAATGAATTAATTTTATAACACTTATTTTTTGTTAAAATATATGAACAGGGCCAGAGATGTAGCTTAGTGGCACTGTGCCTGCCTGGCAAGGGCAAGGTCCTGAGTTTGATTCTGGTACTGAAAAATATAAAATACAATACAATACAATAAAATATATGAACAATGTATAAAGTAAAAAGTTTAAAGGGGGGAAATAAAAGTGCCAGTAATCCCACTATTGTAGATAATAATTTAGGTCCTTTTGGTGTTATTTTAGCCTGTGTCCTATACAGGACTAAATAGATATTTGTAAAATATAGTAGTGAAAACTACAGAAACACTGATAATCTGCTTTATCCTCCTTAACAAAAAAGTACTTTTTATGATTGATTTTCTATAAAACACTTTGGTTTATAGTATCTGAAAACAATCTTTTTGTTGTTTGTTTTTGGTTTTTTGAGACAGGGTCTTGCTACAGTATATAGGATGACTGACTATGTAGCCAAGATTCACCTCAAACTACTGAGTGCGTGTGCCACCACACCTGGCTAAACAATTACAGTATCATACGGTGAAAATTAATCATATGGTGGGAGGGGGTGTTGGTTCTTTACCTAAAGAGCACTTTCTTTTACAAGTTATCTGAATGTTCAAAAAAATCATTATTTTTTTTTCTAATTAAATAGCTATCTTTGTTATACTATTTTAAAACTTTGGGCCAGGGATTTAGCTCAGTGGTTTTGCTGCCTGCTGCGCAAGCACAAGGACCCAAGTTCCATCTCCCATACCAAAAAAAAAAACCTTCACATGTCCATCTTCTGCATGTCAACATACAGAAAACATTAAACACATGGTTATAGAAGTATTATGGCTGAAAAAGGTCAAACTGTGACAATTCACTATAAGCTCAGCCCAGAACACTTGAACCTAAACAGAGCCAGCTAAGAAATCCACAAAGCAATGATTCTTTTTTTTTTTTAATGCTTCTTTATATCCATTATCTAAGGCCTACTATTACTTACACACACATGTAAGCAGATGGCACTGAGTGGTGACACGATCTCAAGCTTGTTCTATTCATGACAGTAGCCCAATCTAAAGCATAATGGGAATAGAATGACATCATCTAAAACTTTCCTTAAACATGGTTTCAACTATAGACTTAGATATGTTCCTGAATTATAATGACGTCATATGCCAATATTAATGTTACAATTTTAAAATTAGAGTGAGATATTATTAGTCAGAAGCTACTAACAATTTACTTAAAATTCAAAGGGATGGTTTACAACTAGCATTTATCATAAGTGTAAAATTCAGTATTCAAAAGGCACAGAATTTTTTTAATACAGAGAGGATATTACTATTTGACCAATTTTGAATTACTTAGTCCTAGACGTCTTATCATTTGAATTGAAGAGAAACTGCACTAAAGTATCCTAATATCTAAACACAAAAATAAAGACAGGTCTGATTAATGTAAAATTCACATTCCCAAATCACTTGTGCATGGTTTTTCTTAATTTAATTCAATATTCATAAATAATTACATTTATAAAAGTCCTACCACATCAACTTTTAGAGATACACATCTATAGGGCAAATTGACACACATTATATGCAAACAATTTTCTGAAGCATGAAAACTTCATACTTGAGTTACGTATGTCATTAAACTGTGATCAAGATGAAAAACAGGATACAACAGCAAAGCAGTCTAAAAGCTGCCACACAGAAAGCTAGCAGGAAGAAACAAAACACTCTACACCAAGAACCAAAATATTATATAGTTACTGTTTATAGACCTTTCAAACTTTAGTCCCTGACAACTCACAATAAAATTTAAAATGTTCCTTCTTCACAGAAACAATCCTCTCAGTTCCACATAGATTTATTGTACTTTGAATGCAAACCAATAAAACAGACTGCACATTTCATGAAGTGATGATCACTGTACTGCTACATACGGTGACAGACACATCATGCACATCCTCTTTGAAGATACCAGAAGGCTCTAGTATCTCATCCAAAATATTCTACTCCCTTCAACATCAATTTACCTCCTCATCACCTTCATTTCATCAATTTCATTTCTCCTTTTTGGTATGGCTGGGGATTTAGCTCAGCAGTTCTGCCACCTGCCTAATTTCTCCTTTTTGTAAAAGTACATTTCTAATCCAGTTCAGTAAATTTCTAATCCAGCAACTTTTTTGTGACATGTATCAGCAATCCTTCCCTTTCTCAAACTTTCTCTAATAAAATTACTTCAATTTCTTAATAGGCATCCATTCCTATAAGACATTCATTTAAAATAACTACAAACTCAAATTTAATTAGATATCAATTAATTTGAGGATTAGAAATGTTAGACATGGAGTTACAGACATCACACAGTTTGTTTTGTTTTGTGATATTGGGGATTGAGCCTGTGATGTTCTACACTGAACTACATCCCTAGCCCTTTCTATTTTTCTATTTTGAGATAAAGTCTCATTATATCAAGGCTAGCCTCAAATCTGTAATCTCTCCTGCCTCAGCCTCCCCTAATAGCTAGGATTACTGGTATGTCCCACCACACCCGATACACACATACTTTAAAATCCTATTACTTGTTAAATGTGACAGAATCCTAAGTTCATATTTCTGAACAAACCATACACTTCGATGTACTAATGGAAGACAAACACATGAATCCACTATACATATACGCCACTGCAATAGACATTAAATAGACAACTGTTGGCTATATAAGCATTTTGACTACTGTGATTCTATCACCTCATTTCAGAATACTATAAAAAATTTTAAAATAATTACAATAACCAAAAGATGTCTTGATTGTAAATACTAGTTTAAAGCAGATTTTTTAGAAATAGCTGAAAACTTCATAAATTATTAACTTCACAAAATTTAAGAGAAAATTACTCTTTCCAAGTGTCTAGTCTTTATTTCCCTCCTCAGGATTTTTATCACGTGATTTATTATAACGTAATTTAAACCTCACTGGAAAGGGATGTAAGAGAGAAAAAACCTAAAGTCATTTAATTATTTCTGAAGAAACTTTCTAGATTTATCTCTGAGGAAATAGTGTACATTGAAAAAAAGATTATAGGAACAGAGTAGTCTCTTGCCTTTCATTCATTTATTCATTCCTATTCAGTCATGTTTGTAGGTAAGCAGGGCACAAATATTTAGTGACCACCTATTTTCTGCTTTGTAATAGAAGTTTGCTATCAGCATGATTCTGTATAATTAGAACTGTGTGAATTTTCGTAAGTTAAACAACTACTTTGAGTTTCATCACCTGTAAAACTAGGACAATACCAACATCTACTTCATAGGTTTACTGTATAGTTTAAATGGATGTAAGAGGTTTACCTTCAAAAAAAATATTAATCCCTTCTTTTCATAGGTCTCCCTAAAGATTACATTTATTGATGATTTCAACCTTTATATAAGAAATCTTTTATTCTCTATGCTTTCCATGTCTTTAAAGAAATTTTTCTATCAAGTGAATTGACATTTTATTAGCTAGATAAGTAAAGGCTAATCAGAACTCTCAAATTTTCAAAGACTTGGAAATTAATCAAACTCAATGATAGAATTTTTTCCCTCCACTTTTCTATTCTTTTTTAGGTAGTGTTAGGGATTAAACCTAGAGTCTCAAACATGCTTGGCCAGAGCTCTACCACTAAGCTATCTCCCCAGCCCCAATGCTAGGTAGGTTCTTAAGGGGCCAACACCAATTTTATTTCACTATGGTACCAACCTACAAATCACCACAAAGTATGAGAATGAGTTGTGGTAATTAGCCCCAAAAACTTGAGTCAATATAACTATTGGTCAAAAAAAAAAGATACACGATATCTTGCCTGTATAAATCTACAGGGAACAAATACACAATTCTTGACATTTTGCAATATAAAAATAATTCATTCTCATCTCTAAAGACCTCTAGGAAAAACAATTTATAGACTATAAGTTAGTGATTTAGTAACTACTAGTTACTCTACAGGTTTGTTTTCAGATAGTAAAATAATAATTATTATTATTTGTTCAGTAGCCTGTTTATTAAATTTATTCCATCTCAGACACATATATTTGGACACACACTCATGCCTAAACCTAGATTAGATTCTTATCATTAAAAGTAGGTACAGAATTATTTTGGTGTAGTGATAGAGCAAGATTTGTTTAGTGCTGCCCTTTATTGTTGAGATTTAGTTTGCTCCTAAATTTTTTATATTTAAATAAAGTTGCTATCCTTGTACAAACGGCCTCTTTTTCTTTTAGTTATTAACTTAAAACATATTTCCCAAGGAAGGATTAATAAGCCAGTGGGTGGACAGTGGGGAATCACTAAGGTTTATTAGCAGGCATAGTCATATCTTCATCTTTAAAATATCTGTCCAGTAAGGGTAATACCAGTTGCAAGCTTATTGTAAACACTAAATGGGATCAAGAAGCTGACAGTACAATAAAGAACTATGCAGATATAAATTATTATACTCATAATATTGCCACAAAGTCTAATTGCAGAAGAATCATAGTTAACTGAAGATTATTAATCACATATGCAAACTGTTTCTTTGGGGCTCTTATTTTATCTTAGAATTCTAAGGACAGCACAATGCCATGAGAAAAAGTGAGCCTCAACAAATAACCATTCGGAAATGACCTATTATTTGTCCTGTGAGCAAATACCTGCTTCAGAACATGGGCTTGCCTCAGAAGTATGGAAGTAGCTTACTCTTGAAGCATGACAATATTTGTGCCCAGATAAGGAGAAAGGAGATGTTATCTCTTCTACACATGGTTCAGCTAGTATTATTAGTAATACCTCCTTCAAGTTCAAAAGTTATATTTATTCATAAAAAGAAGTAATGAAGTGTCTTCTCTTTATTTATCAGAACAAAATTCAAATTAACTCTTGGACCTATGTGATTTGTTCCCTATTAACCTCATCTACCAGTCTCTTCCCAGCCTGGGGGCCTTCTTGCTATTCCTCAAATATAAAGGAATGACAAGTGCTTTTTACTTTAGGGCCTTTTTACCAACTGGGCCCTCTATGTGGTTCACTCTTCTCGCTGATCATCTGACATTTTGTCACTTAGGTTCCACATTAAGTATTACCATCTCAATACTTAATCTAAAACCTTCCACCATTTTCTATCACTTCATCTTGTGATAGTTTCTTTATAGCATTTGGGACACTTGAAATATTCTTGCTTACGTGTTTATTTTACTGTTTCTCTGCACTACTATCCTCACTGGTATAAAGAGTTCCAACAGTCTTATTCAATAATAAATCTCTAGTTCTTGAAATAGTACCTACCACCCAATAATCACTCAGTAACCAAACGGTGTAATATCAGTTGAGAAAATTATTTTGATGTTTTAGTCAGGAACTTTCATTTAGCACTCAAAACTGCAGATGAGGAGAGTAAGAGAAATGTATATAATATTCTATTAAACCAGTAGGCTTCATTTTTTTTACTTTGATCTATGGCATAGAAAGATATAAAATGTTTCACATATTTCACATGTTACATTATATAAAAACTGAATGAACAAGCCACGTACCAGTCGCACATGCCTGTAGTCCCAGCTACTAAGGAGGCTGAGGCAAGAGGATCACGCAAGCATAGGAATTCAAGATTCAAGGCCAGCCTAGGGAACACAGTAAGACCCCATCTCTCTTTTTTTTTTTGGTACCGGGGATGGAACTCAGGACCTTGTGCTTGCGAGGCAGGGTGCAGCGCCACTGAGCTAAATCCTTGGCCCAAGAACTCCTCTCTTAAAAATAGTTTTAAAAAAATTAAATGAACGGGACAGGGATTTAGCTCAGTGGTGCCATCACCTGCCTCACAAGCACAAGGTCTGATCCCCGGTACCAAAAAAAGTTCAATCCCCAGTATCAAAAAAAGAAAAAAAAATTAAATGAACTATCTTATTTTATAATAGAACACTATGAACTGCCAGTTACTTAATCTAATAATTTGCTTTCCCTGCCAAAATGTGAGCAAGCTTCTAAGAATCTAAGACACAAAGACAGGTCATCACTCAGTGGCGCCACGCCTGCCTCGCAAGTGCAAGGTCCTGAGTTCAATTCCTGGTACTGGAAAAAAATTTAAAAATAAAGACAGGTCATCATAGTGTCAGAACCATAATATTTCAAACCAAGGAAGATTCTCTCAGCCACAATTTAGGGGGTTGGGGGAGGCAGTCCTAAGAGAATGACTGTAGTTCTAATTTCTGTTAACAGGCAGAAATATCCTCAAACCTATTAAAATGAACTGGAATTTTATAGTTTGTAAAATTAAATCACTGCTTTGACTATCTGAGGTCCCTTTAGTAAGTGAAATAGTCAACTGACCAGATCTGAACTTGTGCAGTATCACATAACAAAAACAGTATTTTTATGATATGATTTTTTTTCTTTTCCTTTTTTTTTGGTACCAGGGATCAAACTCGGGTCCTTGTGCTTGCGAGGCAGGTGGCGGAACCACTGAGCTAAATCCCCGGCCCTAGAAACAGTATTTTTAAAACGCTGCACACATACATATAATCCCTAACACTATGTGCTACATTTGCTTATGAATAAAAGTATTTAAAAAGTATTTTCAAGGATACTTTTAAAGGGAATAAATTTAAACAACAATTAGTAAGGACCTCATTTCTAGATCTAGACAATATTTGGGGAAAAGAAAGTATGACAACTCACTGGTTTAAAAATGCAAATGTCGGGCCGGGGGTTTACCTCAGTGGTTCCACTGCCTGTGTCCCAAGCGCAAGGTTCCGAGTTCAATCCCCGGTACCAAAAAATATGCAAATGTCTTGGAAGTACCACAAGGCTGTAGTTTTTGAAAAAATACAGACTGTTTCTTTTCTCAACAGGAAGATAGTGAGCAGACTAATTCATAGCTCATGTGAGTTTACTTATTAGTCAAAAAGAAAATAGTAATATCAGTCTTCAGGCCATTTGCTTATGTACTATTCAGCCAAGTGGAAAGTATGAGTAGAGCTAGAATCAGGTATGAGAATATCTAAAAATGGCACCTACAAACTCCTGTTTTTTAAAATCAGGACAATTAAAGAAGGAGAGAGAGAACAGGAATACTAAAAGTAGTATTTCTGTCTAAAGATCACACAATTCCCTATTTTTTGTTGCTCTATATTTCAATGCCTTCAAAATTCTAAACTGTTTAACATGAAGTCTGTATTTCACTTATCACCTCTGCTCACTAAATTGATGTTTTTAAAGTCTAGCAGCATCTGTGAACACTGCAAAAACCACATGCAAAAGAATTCTACCTACAGAATTCATTATAATTCTATATAATTTTAATATATCTCCAGAAATACAAAATCTAAAAGAATTTACTGTTAAATAATAATTCAAAATGCTAAATAAACAAAATTTCTGCAGAAGACTATGTGAATTTTTTTAAAGCATAAATATTTCCTGTTCACTGGTGAAATGATGTCTTTTACCATTCAATTAAAAAAAAAAAGGTAGTAACAAGCAAAGTGTACTGAGTCCCATCTTCTCTCAAAAATGACCAAACTCCAGGTAGCCTACACCTTAAAATTCAGACTGTTTCTTTTGAACTTTATCTCCAAACTAGATACATAGATCTTGCCAACAGTGGCTCTCAGCAACTTCCCCAAAATCTTCCCTTTTCTTTTCCATTAAGCCCTCAGATCTTGCCATACCTGTATTAAGTTAAACCAGTCTCCCTGTCTTGTCTTTGCTTTTTTCAGTTTACTCTATAGCCTCTAGACATATTCAACTTTTTGATGAATGCTCTTATAATTTTCTTTATATCAAAACTTCTTGTACACCTGAAGAAACTCTATACTTCTCAACTTAGTATTCAATGACTTACAAAGTCTAGCCCCAAAATCCACCTGGTATGGCCTCAACTCCGTATTTTCTAACTATACTAAAGCATGGTTGTCTGTCATATCAATTTTCTGTCCTTCAAACTCTACCGTACTTTCTTTCTGAATTGGCACATGCCATTCCTCCCACAAAGAATGTCTACCAGTCTTCCTCCATATGCCATTGAGCACAACAACCCATTTGCATCTCTGTATTTATATTTGTAAACAAGAATATAAAAATGAGGTACTTCTTCCCTCCTACAGACTGGCAGAAAAAAATTTAACAAAAATAGCTAGCTTTTATTACATAGCTACTATGTATGTGAAGAGGTTTTATACATTATTTCCAACTCAACAATCCTATATAGTAAGTAGTATTATTCTTTAAGAGATAAGAAAGCTAAGGTTTAGAAACATCATCATATAGGTAGCAAGTTGCCTCAAGTCATGTAGTTAGTTAAGTGGTGAAGCAAGGATTTGAACCCAGGCTTGCCTAACTCCAGAGCTATCTCTAAATCCTAACAGTTTAAGTCAGATCTACGTTGACTATCCTCCTTATCTACTGATATAATTTGGTTTTACATAATATATTACATGCTATAACACAAGATTTTTCATGTTTGCCATTTCAGTAAAAGAACTTAAAAGTTCTGTATCTCTCAAAAAAATTAACAATTCTCAAATTGCAACTTTAATCAGTTTTTGTCACAAAAATTACTTTTATCTAAAATATTTTTTAAACAAACTCATTCCAACCAACTTTTCAGAATAGCTGCAAATTACTACTCAAGCACTAGAATGATTTTACAAGTTAATAATATGAGGATTTTGTGAGTACAACCCAAAAATGTAACAGATAATCTATCAAATTGGCAAAGATTGTAAAAACTGACCTACTCAATGCCATTGAAGGTGCAGTGAGACACACACTCTTATACAGGGTAACCACCCTCTGATCCAGTTATCCCACTCCTGGGAATCTATCCTAAAGAAAGGAAAAAAAAAAAAAGACGCAATAAAGATAAATGTACAAAACTATTTTTTCCAGTGTTACTTAAAATAGTAATTTTTTAAAAAATCAACCTCAAACTCTCACACTAGAAGACCAACATCCCATTCAGGAAAAATAAAAGTAATATTGAAATAGTGTATGTAAAGGTATAAATCTAATTTTTTAAAAAGTACATGCAAGAAAAGAACTGGAAAAATATACATGAACACAACAGTAATTTTCTCTCTGTGATAGGATCATGGGTGATTTTCAATTTCTTTACGCTTAATGTTTTTATTTCAAAATTTGCCTCAATGTAACATGAAAAAAAAGTTTCATTTGACTACCACATAGCAAGGAAGTGGTTGAGCTTAGACTGAAACATAGCTTAAAAGCTACTAGAATACTGCTTCTAAAAACTTGAAACTGATGATTCTATTAGGGGTACAAGAAACCAATTTGGAGAATTATCATCAGCATAAACAAATCTAATAGAATTGAATAAAATCAAGTAAAATGGAATAAAATAGTATTGAAAACAACCCAGGGCGCATCACAGATAAGGTATTATTTTATAAAACTTTTGTTTTAAATAAATATTTAAGAATTATATGAATAAAAAAAAAGTTTAAGCAGTTATAGTCACTGAAAATATCCTGAGCATAACAAGGACATATTACTTAGAACAGGAATTACATTTTCCAGTGTAAAAACTTCAGACTTGTTTTGTTTCCGTCTTCTATTAAGCTCATGTTTTCCCCTAGGTTGTGTAAAGAATGTCATCTATGGGCTGGGATTTAGCTCAATACCACCACGCCTGCCAGGCAAGCACAAGGTCCCAAGTTCGATCCCCGGTACCAAAAAAAAAAAAAAAAAAAAAAAAAGAATGTCATCTAAAATTCAGTAGTATTTGAGAAAGTATAAAAGACCTACTATCTAAGAGTCAATATACCAAAAGCAAGCTTCACAGTTAAAGACACTGCTTTATGTCTACTTCAAATAAAACATGTCTAATTAACCTTAACTGTAAAACACACAAAATGGCAGAAAAATTATACTCATTTTGCAAACTAAATACAGAACTGTTGCATTAATAAGTACATCAGTTAAGTCTGGGGGGAGGGGCTTGAAAATAAAAATGGCAAGCTACCAACATTCACAAAAAGTGCACACTGATGTATTTTGTCTATTCACACACTTCTGTCCTAACAGGCAGTTAATTTTAGTGGCACAGGATGATTTTAATCAAGTAGAAAAAAATGAACAAACTATTCTACAAAACAATTTCTGACATTAAACATAGAATACATACTGAGAGCTGAACACAAGAAAACTCTCAAGACAATGTAATGTGTGCAATGTGTATAATAAATAATTATGAGTGTGTGTGTGTGTGTGTGTGGGAGAGTTACAAAGTAAAAAGTACTGGACCGGAATAACCAGGCAATACAGCAAACAAAAAACAATTTTTGGTGATGTTCCAAATTGAACCCAAAGCCTTGTGGATACTAAATATACACTTCACTGAGCAACACCCTGAGCCTACAACTGTTATTTACTATATTTAAACAACTGGGAAACTTACTTGCTCTAGTAGTACTAAAAATCTGTTAGAAAATGAGAGCACAGGAAGAGTTGTTTAACAACTAAGAGAGAATTCAAAATATTCACATTTATTTTATTTAAAAAATGAGTATTGTTCTATTTTTACTCTGCCATGAAAATACATTTTTTTTTTGGAACTGGGGTTCAAACTTGCCTTTGCAAGGCAGGCAGCAGCACCACTGAGCTAAATCCCCAGTGAAAATACATTTACTTATAAAAACATATGTCAGGCTCTAACACATATAAAATAAAGTACTGTACTAGATTATAACTAACCTTAAAGTAGAAACTATACATTTATATCTGTGTTCATCAAAAATCTAATTTTGAGTCATTCAACATCTTTTCAGTGACTGAATCTGAAATCTATCAATGAAATTATGCAATATTTTCACAATGGAATTTAAAGGAGTTCCAAAGGTATTAACAGATTTGCAATAAAGTGTAAACTACATAAAATTTAACAATTACTGTTAAATTTCAAGTGCTACAAGAATACCTTCAAGTGGTTGCTTTCTTAAGGTTCTATGGTATAGCCAACTTGTCTAGAACAGAATGATTCTATTTATAAATGAATTTTAAAATATCACTGAAATACACTGAATGAATTTACTCTCCAGATTATACATTTGACAGATGTGAAATGTTCAGTCTACAATAAGAGATTTCCTACTACTGACTTAAGAGTAGTACAAACTACACTTGGGATTTGACCCAACAGTTATATCTAGTTCTCTGTGTCTCTCTCGCTAGTTTTGTCTTTGACAGGTAATCCACAGTTCTATCCCGAGGAAGTTATTTTTTACATCTAGAATAAGTAGGTACAACATAGTCCTGCAAACAACCATGAATAAGTAACATGTTATGAGTAATATATACTTGTGTGTTCAAAGTAAGGCCTTTCAAAATTTTAATTAATCCAATCATGTCTTTCATCTGTTACGTGTAGTTTAGTATATTCTAATTCTTATAAACTGTGGCCTAATTTAAATATATTCTGAAATCAAACAGATATATGCATATATCTTAAATATAATCTGAAATCAAACAGATATATGCATATATCTTACATTTGGTTAATTTTGCCATTCCATCCTTTGACTCGTCATCAATGTGAACTAAATAGGTTAGAGATACGAAACACTGGGAAAACTGGAGATTTATAGTTTATTTTCAGTTTCAACATAAACTTATATAGCCTAAATAAGTCAAAAGTGCTTTTTAAAAAGCCATTTATTTCCTTTTTTTTGGAGATAGGGTCCCAAGGCTGGCCTTGAACTCAACTAGGTAGCCCAGGCTGGCCTTCAAATCACACAATCCTCCTGCCTCAGCCTTCCCAACTGCTGGGATCACAGGTGTGCGCCACCACATCCGGCTTCAAAAGCTATTTCTTGACTAATGATTGAAGTTCATTTCATAAAACAGAATTAATCCTCTATATCTATACCATGTACTTCTTTTTTTAAATTTTATTGGTACATTTTAGGTATACAATATAATGACATTGATCATTGGAAATTTGTATCTTTACATAATCTATCTTGGTTCTTATTTTTTTCCCCAATATACTATGTACTTCTGAAGTTATAGTAAAAGGATTATTTTTAGACCAGTTATAAAAATATCATTTCTTGTTTCAACTCTACCTTAATAGTCACATACAATTTCCTTTTTCTTTTTTAATTGGTGGATATATCTGTGCATGTTTATACCTTCTGCTTCTAAAAGGCCTATTTTCTAGTGGAAATGAGAGCATGGCACAATGCTCTGTGGAACTGTTTTGTTGATCAGAACATCACAATAATGAACAAAGCTGACCTCACAGATTCTTTACTCAGCTGGATTATTTAACTTTTAGACAAATTATCATCTTAACCAGTCACCTCAAAACTGTATGAAGGGGACTAAGTGTGAATCGTTCAATGCAAACCCATCATCACTATTACCAAAAAATTTGCAATGTAAATGAGCTTATACTATCTGGGTATGAAATACTGAAAAACACCTAAACTATCGCTTGTAATTCCCAAATGCACATGCACACATGCACACACGCACACACAAAGGGACGCTTCATCTGTCTCAGTACCATACACAAGCTTAAGTTTTTCAATACTAATATTTTCCATAAGATATGATTTGGCATTAAGTTGCATACCAATTATATAACATTAGAATAAGCATAAAATGTCTGGAAATATGCCATAACTCTTTTTCACAACTGATTTAGTTTAATTTGAAAATGAACATTAGGAGGCAGTAAGTTTATGTTCACAATTTTAAATGTACCACAATATTAAGATCCATTTTATATGAGTTATTTTTATTGAACATCTAACATAAGAGAATTTTAGATCCAAGAACTTTAGCAGTTATCTAAAGTTCAATGAGCATTTCCTGAGTCTCCAGCGTTGATCATACACACAGTGCTAGGTGCTTTCAAGTAATTCAGTTCAACTTATTTCCTTTACAGATGTCAAGGTTCTATGCTCATGCCAAATCAAGCTATCTAGAACAGAACTAGAAATGATAAGCCAACCCTTCATAATGGTATTATTTTCTATCAAAATAGATGAATAGCATTCTCTTCTATAAAAAAATTTCAACCTGGTGTGGTGGTACACATCTGTAATACCAGAACTTGGCATGAGGCATGAGGATCACTAAGTTTGAGGCCCACCTGGACTATACAATGAGTATACAGCCTACACTACATAGTGAGACCCTGCATCAAAAAGTAAATAAATGAATGAATGAATGAATAAATAAAAGATGCAATGCTGACCTTATTTTTAAAAAAGTCTGTTTTTAATAACTGTAATTACAATGATTTAAAACTTTAACTGTGAGACCTCAATTAACTACTAGTTGTATAAGTTATCCCAAAGAACAAAACATGAAGCTGTCAAAACTATAAAATTCCGGGCCAGGGATTTAGCTCAGTGGTTCCAGCGCCTGTCTCACAAGTGCAAGGTCCCGAGTTTGATCCCCGGTACCAAAAAAAACCAAAACAAAACTGTAAAATTCTAAAAGCATCATACAACACAAATTACAGAGATCATTTTTTAAAATTCCTTTTTAAGAAAAGCAATAACTCATACAGATAACTGGATGCCTAACTGCAATGTCTATTTTATGTAAGAAATAATAATACACTAACAAAGTTCGTGAGCAACAGAAAACACTGGCAAGATCCGCAGTTATTTAGCTATTAGATTACAAATTATAATTGAATATAAACACTTCCTAAAGACAGAGACCCTGTCTAATTTATCTCTATATCTTCAATAGTTAGTACTCAGTGGTTAAATGTTAAAGACAGAGGTGAGCTAATATCAACCTAGTAATCTAAAATATCTTATTATATGACTGAAACTATTTTTGAAGTGTTAATAGTACCCAGTGAAAATGAAATTGATATGAAACTTAGGCTTAACAACTGTGGCTGTCAAAATAAGTATAACATATGCTTTGAAGGCAATTCAGAAATATACCAGACAAGTGTATTCATATACTTTGATCCCACTGGAAAGGAATCCCAAGGAAATGTTTCAAAAGAAAGCCAATGTTGCCTATGTAAATATTAATTTCATCACTATTTTAATGGAGAAAGGGAGGGAAACTACCTATATCCCCAACAACAGGAAAATGGAGTACTTTGCAATAACTGAAAAAGTTTAAAAATGTATTTACCTCCTAAATGGTCTTCCCAATTCTACTCATCTCCTCCCACCCAAGTTGACCTCCATACAGCAGCCAGAATGATGTCTACAAACTTAAGTCAGAATACATCTCTTTTCTACTTAAAATCGTCCAATGGCTGCCCATCTCATTCAAAGTAAAATTACTGTGGCCTATGACATCTTAGACCAATTCCAGCTACTTCTCTATCTCAAGCCTTCTCATTTTCTCTCCTGTTTACTATCCACCAACCACACTGAGATTTTACTCACAGATGGCCTAATAACCTTTTTTCTGAAAAGAACACACATCCCTCACTCCTTTCAGATCTCTGCTCCACTGTCAGGTCTTCCCTGCCAACATTTTCTCTAGCCCCTCACCCTACTTCACTCTTTTGCACACCTCTTATCACCTGACATACTCTACATTTATTTGGTCACGGCATGTCCTTTCTAATTAGAATATAAGCTCTATGACAGCAAGAACATCACTTTATCCACATAGTAAGCATTCACTAAGCACTTGCTGAATTAATATTAAATGCTGACATGACTATTAACTACATGAGAAACCATGTGTATGGAATAAATTTGAAAAAGAACAGGAAAACAAATCAAATTAAATGAGTATTTTCAAATGCTTATCACATTACTAAAAAGTAGTTTGTACAAATAAAAGTCATAAAGCAGTCATGATTATGATTTTAAGCTGTCAAAGTAATGAGAACAATCTTATTTCCTTCTAGATGCCATGGATATATTGATTTAAAACTGTTAATAGTTATTAATAAGAATTTTCCCCATAAAATTATAATAAAAATCTCTTAAATCTCAAAGTTTAGTCTGTAAGTATAGATGTTTTCATTCCTGAAGCCACATAAAAAGTGAAAAAAGGCTCTGAACAGTTTTTGTATGAAACTGAATTATTATCAGGGATTCCAGTTAACTTTTTTGTTGTTGTTTGTTTGATTTTTTTTTTTTTTTTTTTGAGACAGGGACTCACTGTAGTTTAGGCAGGTCTTGAACTCACTATGTACCCCAGCCTGGCCACAAACTTGCAGCGATCTTCCTGCCTCGGCCTCCCCAAGTGCTGGGATTACAGGCATGCGCCACCACGGCCAACCCAGTACACTTTTAGGACACTGTCTAAGGTTGGCTTCAGTTGATCCCTGAAATTGAAGGCAAAATTTTGCGCATAAAGGCGTGTTACTGTTTTCTGAGAACAGGGTCCACATATTTCATCATATTCTCAAAAATGTCAACAGCCTAAAAAAGGTTAAGAACTTTAATTTTATATAATAGTAGTGAAATAAAGTATTTTTACATAATGTACCATTCAAAAGGACAAGATATATAACACCTACAACACATCTTTGTAATCACTAAATTCATTCAACAAATACTGAACATGTATACTCCTTAATACTTTACACTTAATCATATTTGAAATAGAATGTAATTCAAAATGACAAGAAAATAAGATTCCCTGAAACATCACAATAAAAAAAGCATATCACCAGATGTGGTGGCACATCCCTGTAATCCCAGCACTGGGGAGGCTGAGACAGGACTGCTGTGAGTTTGAGTTCAAACCCAGCCTGAATTAGAGCAAGACCTTGTCTCAAAAAAAAAAAAATAAATAAATAAAAGAAAGAAAAAAAGAGTATCAAACTATAAGTTCAAAACAGACAATGTTATAAGAAAGTACATTAAGACAAAGGAGTCTGGGGCTTAATCTAGTGTCAAAATACTGCAGACATCAATTACACCAAAAGAAAAAAATTGCACATAGCATGCCCACCCCCACACATTCTGACAGGAAACCCAAAGAAAGTTTCCAAATCCTGTTTCTAGTAGCATTTCTTGTGAGACTGCCCTTCAGCATGCTTTTAAAGGTTGACTCCTCCGGTTAATCCAACAGCTAACACTTTATTCTTACTACAATAAAAAGCAGAAACTCAAGAAACCGAGAACAGTGGCTACCTGTAAGGAAGGCTTCAGCCATTAATGACCAGTCGTGTTACTCCTCCCTTCAAAGCAGTTAAGAAAGGATTTTATCTCCCCAAAAGAAATACAGTACATTACTCCTCACTGCTAGGTCTTTTTCAAAGAGGTCAAAGGTCCCCTAAACTCTTCTTTTCAGCCCTGTGATATCGCACTTTTTAAGCACAACTGTCTTCCCCTCTTCTCCCTATAGAAGTAAATTACACAATTCTTTAACTTCCTGAGAGGCAAGCGGCAATACTAACATCTCGACACTCAACAAATGCTAGGTTGAAGGAAGACAAGAATCACACCGTGACCTCCTTCCCGACATAATCTAGAGAAGTAGCCGAGATCCAAGAAAAAAGTGACACTGAAAAGGCGAACACATGGCATGTTACAGAAGACACGGAGGAAAGAGGGCGGGAAAGGGGCAGGGAAAAGGAGTGGGATGTAGAGATGTCAGCCCTATCCACTGGGGGAATAAAGGAAGGGAAGGGGGTCCCTGCACCGTGACAGAAGTGCACACCGAGAGAACACTCCAGTCCACCCGAACCTCTTAGCCCGGGGCAGGACAGAAAATTCACCCAACCCTCCACCCTCCTGCGCCCCTCAAAGGGCGAGCTGGGTTTGCGGGAAGCGGTGACCCTAGTCTGGGAACAGCAAGGGGGAAAGGCAGCGATGTCCAATCTTCTACATTTCTCAAGCAGCAATGGGAGAGGGCACTGCGTCCAAGGAGATGGCGAGGGAAAGGAGCTTGGGCCGTGACACCTCCAAGAGTTGGAGGGTGGGGGACACAATGTCCTCTTTCTCTCCCACACCCGGCCCGGCCCCTCCCGGCCGTCTCCCGAAGGCCCTGCCACAGGCGACCGGCTTGGTCCGCGGGCGCGGTTGGCTCTGGCCCAGGCGGCGGCCCGGCCTCGCGAGCCCCGGCCCCTCCCGCGGGCCAGGCCCCCGGCCGCCGCCCCGGACACCGAGGGAACGCGGAGGAGAAAAGGGGAGCCCGAGGACTGACCGGCGACACTACCCGCCTCAGCCCCAACTCGCCGCCCTGCGCCCCCCGCTCCCTCAGGGGCCGGCTGGGGCTCCCCGCCCCTCGCTCACCCCCCCGTCCGGCGCCTCCTCCACCGCCTCCTCCTCCTCCCTCCTCTCGGCCGTGGCTCCGGCTCCGGCTCCGGCTCTGGCTCTGCGCGGGGACGGCGACGGCGGCAGCCTGGGAACGGGGGCGGCGGCGGCGGCGGCGGCGGGGCCTCCAGAACGCGCACGCACGCAGCACGCCGCCCTGTCCCTAGCCCCGCCCCTCTCCGCCCCTCCGAGTCGCGTCGTGAAGGTTTCGGCCCCGCCTTCCCCGTGGCGTTCGAAGTCCGCTTAAAGGAGCCGCGAGGGAGGGGATGGGGGTTGCGGAGCGCTGTACTGCACAGCCACTTACAGCTCTGCAGAGTGCAGACTGAGGAAGAGGGTGGGATGAAGCGGAAATGAAATAAGGGAGGGTCAAAGATTTCGGCGGAATAAAATTGGGAGGGACCGAAACCATGCTATAAGTACTAATTGAGCACCTAATATGTGCTTGGCACCATTCCAGACACGGATAAAGCAAAGCCATAGGCAAGCCCAGGCCCCGGTGAAGCTTGCATTCTAATGTTAGGAGAGAGGGGAAACGAAACAATTGCAGATAGTGATAGTGGTGAGAAAAATAGAGCAGGAGACAGTGACTTTAGAGCTGGTCAGACTTTGCCTCTCAGAGAAGATCTTTGTGTACATACACGCATGACAGGAAAGAAGAAGCCTGGCAAATCCTAACAAATGGAAGAGAAGAGCAGCCTTTCCAGACTCAGAGAAAATCAACCATGACTGCAGAGGTGCCGATGCTCGCAGGAAGAGCAGAAGTCCAGTATGGCTGAGCAGAGTCAGCCAGCCAAAAAGTAGGAGTAGTTAGGCCCAGAGGGGTGGGCAAGCAGCCAGAGCCTGTGGAGCCTATGGGCCATTATAAGAACAACGGAAAGCCCTGGGAGGGTGAGCCCAGAAATGACTACATCTGATTCACATTTTAAGTTAATCTTGCTATGTATGTGAAATACCAATGAAGAAGGAAAAAAAGCGCCCCAAGGAGACCAGAAAAGAAGCTATTTATGTTACCTTGGACTAGGATGACCCCACAGTATGGGGAAAGAAAAGAGCCATTTTGTTTTATATTTTATTTATCTTAGTTTTCTGTAGATACATTTTGATTGGGATGGATTTGGAGTGGAAGAACAGTGTGAGGGAAGGTCACGGATGGTTCTTAGATTTAGGGCCTGATGACTGGGTTAGTGGTGGTGCATTTAATGAGATGGAGAATACCCAAGGAGGAGCAAATTTGAAGTGTGGGAAATCAAGTGTTCTCTGTTTAAGGTGTCTGTTAAACATCCAAGTAGAGATGTTGAGTAAATAATTGGACGTATGAATCTGAAGATAATAAATTTGGGATTCATTGGCACAAGCTTTTAAGGGTCAGTTTCTTAGAGAGGAAAGGACTGAGAGACGCTGCAGTACTTGGAGGTTTACGAGAAAGGCCAGGAGTGGTAGCATAGGCCTGTAATCCTTGCACTTTGGGAGGCTAAGGGGCTAAGGCAGGAGGATCTGGAGTTTGGGCCCAACCTAGGCAACCTAGGGACTTATGGGGGGGCCTTGTATCAAAATGAAACAGACATTTAAAAAGGGCTGGGGATGTAGCTCAATGTGAAGATCCTGGATTCAGAGAGAGAGAGAGAGAGAGAGAGAGAGAGAGAGAGAGAGAGAGAGAGGAAGAAACAGGTCTAGACAGAACAGAGAGACAGACTGGGGGAGGGGGAGAGTGTTAGGAGGTAAGGGGGAATTAGGAAGGAGGGAGTGATCAGTCTGATCAGATGGTCAGATGGATAGGATTTTTTTCTTTATTTGTTTGGGCTTTTTGCTGTTTTGTGTTTTGCAGTGCTGAGGACTGAATCCAGGGCTTTGCGCCTGCTAAGCAAACATTCTGCCATTAAGCCACCTCCCCATCTGAGAACTGAGGATTTAAATGCTGAATTTGGCCAGATAAAGGTTGCTAATGACCTCGATGAAAATTCTTGCAGAGGAGCCATGGGGAAGAAAGTGTGATTAGAGTGTGATAGGTCAAAGGAGGTGAGGGAAGGAAAGCTCTTGAGCTTTGCTGTGAAGAGCAGCTGAGAAATGGGCAGCTTTTAGCGGGGTATTGGGATCAAGGGAGGGTATTTAAAAATGGGAGAAGCTTCTTCCTGTTGGTATGCTGGAATCAGCTTTAGAGAGGTAAAGTTGATGACACAAAAGACAACAGAAGACAAATGGAAAAAGATGTCCACAAGTAAGCAAGAAGTAGTAGGGCCTAGTACAGAGTAAAAGGTGCACCTTGGATGAGAACAAGGGCAATCCATTCCCAGAATGTTTTTTGAGGGAAGGCACAGTATCTGGGTGCAGCTGCAGGTGGATCAGGCTGTACATTTGATGATGACATGCTCAGACCACAGCAGAGCAAGCGGGCAGGGGGAGCTGAAGTTTAGCACTCGGTTTGCCACCAGATGTTTGTTTGCTTCCTGGAACTACTTCAGCGTGGAGGAAGAGGCACTTTTCTAACTGCTCTACCTGAGAAGTGGTAGCTTTCAGCAGTTCAGCACCCAGCATACTCACACACGCGAACACACTGGGCATGTACCTTTTCGAAGTTCACAACAAGCGCTATATGGGATGGCTGCCCCACGGGGATCAATGAGCTAAGGTCTGGTCTGTGTGCATTCCTTGACTCTGTATTATGCAAAGCTGTGAGTGGGGAGGGGTTGTTGTATATTTAAGGAACTAGAAGAGGGTGAGAAATAATCCCTTATAGAGTGGAAGAATGACTAGCAGAGCACAGTATGGACAATGCTGAAGGCCCTCTTGAGTTGGTGGTCATGTATTTAAAGTGTTACCGCTTAGCTAAGTGGTATGATTCCCTTCCAGCCACACACTGTTGCGTGGGACAGTCGGATTTGATCAGGAATGGGTTTGTGATGAAAGTTAGGGGCTTGGGTATTAGGTAAAGGAATGATTACAGTGAAAGATCTTGGGATTTAAGCTAAGAGTAAAACATAAAAAGAGGTTAGCCCCTGTGGGAAGGAATGGCTCCAAACTGAAGAAGCAATCAAATAAGTGAGGGCAAGGGGACTTTCCAAGGATCGAGCATGGGGAAGTGAGGCGGTTAGGGGAGGGGAAGTACACACACAGTATCTGTGAGGGAAAAAGGGTTCCAGCTGGCACCAAGGAGTAGGGAAAGAGCAAAGCCTTTGGGCTGCTTTCCTTGTGGCACTGTCCTGGAGAGGCTGAGGAACCATACCACCCACTTGTAATCTTCCGGGAGCGGCACAGGCTGGGGAGGAGGGGGGGAGGGTTGAGTACAGAGAGGGCTAAGCCAGTCAATACTGCCTGTGCTCTTTTACAAGTTTTAAGGAGAGCCATTGGGTACTTTGCTTCCCTCCCACCATGGATACATGACCATTTGTGTATAGGCTGTATTTCACTTGGGATTTGACAGAAGCTAACTTAATGTAATGGCTGTTCCTTCTCCTCCCTCCTCTCCAGCTCCATTACCTCTACCCCAGGTCAAGCATTGATCACCCCAGTCTGGACTTTTGCTGTACTCCCTGATTCAGCCTCCTGCTTAGTCGCTTTACGCCCAATTCATCTCATGTTCTTGACAGAACCATCTTCCTAAGCAGTGGCCAGGTCATGATTATTCTTTTTTTAGAAGCTATCAGTAGTTCCACATCATATTAAGTACAAACTACTCAATCTTGGGGCCGGGGATTTAGCTCAGTGGTTCCACCGCCTGCCTTGCAAGCAGAAGGACCCGAGTTCGATCCCTGGTACCAAACAAAACAAAAAACAAACTACTCAATCTCACACTTGCTCAGTTGTGTGTCTCCAGCCCAATTTCCAGCCTTCCTTTTTCACTATACCATACAAAAGCAGCAAACTGCTTGCTATCATTAAGTTCTCTCTGCCTGCTGCAGATACCTCCCATCTCCTCTACTAGACCCCAAATCTGTTGAAACCCCTGAATCCTGTCATATACAAAGGTGTGCTGGAAAACTACAGTGAATGCTTAAAGTTTTAAAAAAAATTTATTACAGTAAAAGACATGCTGCCATTAATCCCCCTCAAAATACTTCCCCTTGCTTTGAACTCATGTATGTCATTATTCTAGCCACTTCCTGAAGCCATTCTGGAAGGCCTCTTTTATGAGTGTCTTTAGTTATGCTGTTGTGACTGCCTCAGTGTCCTGAATTAATTACAGCATTTACCTTTCATGGCCATTTTGACTTCTGTGAAAGAGCCATAATGATTTCATGAGTATGCCTTTCAGCTGGATGATACTTGGCAAGAACATTCACCAAATTTCTGATCACTCTTCATAAAGATGTTCATGATAGAGAACTTCCAGAGCTGGTTCAGAAAGTGGCAAGAATGATGGGATAACTGTATTCAAAGTGAGGGGGAGTATTTTGAGGGAGATTAATGACAATATATTATTTATTGTAGTTTTTAAAAGCTTAAACACTCATTGTATATTTTGATCTTACATTGCATTACAGCTCCTACCTGGAGCCTTTTTAAAATTCTCCTTTCTCTCAAGTCCCACAGTTTCTGTTTGTACCTTGCTTGTGGAGCATGTGCTACCTTGTGGTATATTTTGTATATTCATTTTATTCCTGCTACTAAATATCACTTCTCACAGGTCACTGCATTTTAATTACCTTCAAAGAGCATGTCTTTATCCCATTTGCTCTTATGAAATTCTTTCATGTTATTACTGACTGAGAATTTCTTCCAAATGGTTCCCAAACTTGGGGTGTTTTTACAATTCAGTTATTACTTGTAATCCTAGAGAGCATGGGTATGCTCGAACCTGGCAAGACCAATATAGCTACTTCCAGGATCAATGTATGGAAAAGGTCTTTGAGAAGCATTCCAATTATGATATAAATCAATACAAAGAGCTTTACATCTAATAAATATTTAGAAAATGTATTTTTAGAGCTTAAATTCTTAAAAATCTGTAACACAAGAGCAGAATTACATACTCCATACCCTGCCATACCTAATGTACTTTTCCTGATTTTTTTTTCTTTTTTTGGTACCGGGGATCGAACTTGGGTCTTTGCGCTTGCGCAGCAGGTGGCAAAATCACTGAGCTAAACCCCCAGCCCAAATGTACTTTTCCTGTTGGTGCAG